TGTAGAAGGAAACGTCCGCATTAAAAATATCAAAGTTTAGGAGGGTGTAGAAAAAAAACCAAACCACATCTGGAAAATCGCAGACATGATTTTTGAGGGTGATGTGTGAAAAAACATTTCCGATGTAAATGGTGCCGCTCCGATAATTCACGCACAGAAGCGAACCAGTTTAAGTGAAGCAGTGTTTCTGGGTATTTCTTTTAATATCACTGCGACAATAACTTTTTAGAAAATTTCAAAGATATGATTGTATTCTATAACTATTAAGCGTTCAGAAAATGTATAGGTTGATGGGGTTTTCTTTCAAAGCACCAGTGTAAGAGCGCGATTTCCAAACACTGTCAATCCACCTACCATGATACCTTAATATACAATCATGTGAAGATTGGGTCATGCCAGTGGCATTAAATTTAAACAAAATCATAAATTGATTTTATCTCGTCTTGATTTTGCTGCACACTGATATGCTTAAACTGTAAAAATATGTTTAGTTTTTTAAGTTTCAAGAGATTTGACGCCTGTTTTTTGTTCCAGGAAAGCTCTACAAGAATGCAGAGTATGTAGAGGAAAGACACAGGCATAGATATGAGGTAAACACAGCTCTTCAGCTTGGGGCTCATTGGTAGAGTGTAGATTAGCATGAACAACAGTTGAAAAGGCCAATACTAACCAATACCAAGATTTGCTTCCCAGCAACATTTTCAATAAAAATCTTTAAGATTTTTCAAACTTTCAAAACTGCCATCATAAAATTAATGGTCTAAACCAATTGGTAATCTTACTAATTCATAACACTATAGCTGTGGTAGCTGCTCTAGCCTTATGGTTAGTGCGCTGGACTCCTGATCAAGCAGTGCAAGTTCAAGTCCTGGCCAGTGTCATTGTGATGTGTTCTTGTGCAAGACACTTTGCTCTCACTGTGCATCTCTCCACCCAAGTGTATAAATGTGTACTGGCACATTGTTTGGGTAACCAGTGGAGTAGTCTGTGATGAATTAGCAGCCTATTCAGTGGAAGTAACAGTGCTAGTAGCTGCTTCATGCTACAGAAACCAGCCCTTACTGGTTAGTCTTAAAATATCTGTAACAATGACAATGTTTCTGATGGTGTTTTGATTTTTTACCTTACATCAAGGTTAATCCAACATACATCAGTCAAATTGAGGAGAAGGGAATGAAATTTGTTGCACGAGATGTGGAGGGTGAAAGAATGGAAATCATGGAGATTCCAGGTAAGTTGATTGAAATTAATGATACTGTCTCTTAAAAGTAATAAGAATATACATCATAGATTTGCAAAGGAACCAGAAATGTTATTTCGTAGATGTAGGTGAAAATCATTTTTACCACTTTTAGGTACCAAGTTAGACTGGTGTTCCAACACAAAATGTCAAGCATTTTGCACTCGTACTGCCATAACTACAGAGACATTATCTGGAGATTTGTTAGTGAACACACTATGTGATAGCAAAACACTCATTTTGACACACAAGGATATGATGAATATCCTCATCTTTCCTGTAATTAAAGTCTGTCTAGTGAGGGTAGCTCTGAAAAATGCTGTTGACAAAATGGGTGATGGACAAACTCAGTAAGTTGTTCATTACGTTGATTATTTTACAGTACCAATCAGAAGAAACCTAACAGGGAATGCTTGACAGAACGTGTTCTGTTTCTGTTCCACAAGCTTTCCAGTTCCTTATCCACTCTGTTCTGTTCTGTTCCTGTTCTGTTAGCGTTCCATTGGTAAGCGTTCTTAGAATTCGTTCAGAAGATCGAGGTTTCCGAGAACTAGAATTTTGAATTTTGTGATACTCTTAGTGATGTTATTTTCACAGGCGAATGCTCAGTTAAGATTGAACGTTATCCTTGTTGATTCTTCCGCAAAGTAGGCAAACAACTTTTTTTTGTTTCTTTTCATGTGGAAACCTTTCAATTCCAGTCTAACTCAACTCGTCCATCCGTTTCCTTACTTGAACATAACTTGGGCATGTTGACAATCGCAAAATGGAGGCGGTGAACACAAAATGGACAAGAAGATGCAGAGAATTAAGATGCTTGCTTAGTGCGTGTAAGAAGAAATTAAAAAAGACATTAGATGATTCTTTGTCATTTTCTCAAGATCGCCGGGCTGGACAAAAATTGGACAAACATGTATTTAAAGTTGCATCGTTTCCAAATCCTTGGTGAGCAAGTGCTCTGATAGGGTAACATACTAGCACGTGTTCTGAAGAACATGTTCTCTTATAGTTTGTTCTGGAGAACTTTTTTTCCATTTTTGTGAATCGTAACTGTTCCATTTCTGTTCTATTTCCATTTGGTATCCATTCTGTAACTGTTCCATTCACGTTCTCGTACCTGTTCTGTATCCACTCTATACTCGTTTGCAAACACCTTCCTGGATAGGTTTCTTCTGAGTGGTTCTGTTAATGGTGGCTAGAGGTCATGGTAGACAAAAATAAGCAAGGTATTGGAGCTTAGAACTTTAAATAGTACTCGTGTAGAATAGCAATTTTGGGTGTAGTCCATTTGGGTAGTCCATGGATAGGGGGTCAGTGTTTTGTTCATCACCTGACAAGATTTCAGTCACCGTAAACAAATATGGAAGAAAAAAACTCCAATGAGTTTTCTTTGCCTGATACTCCTGGGTTCAAACCATTTACTTGACACATCTGTTTGCAAGTTTACGTTTTAGTTGTGACTCAGTTTGAGCAATGCTTAACTCTTGTTGTTTCTTTTTAGACCATCCGTATTTTGTTGGAGTCCAGTACCATCCAGAGTACATCAGTCGACCAGTCAGACCCTCCCCTCCCTATCTTGGGTTAATTTTGGCAGCTATTGGAAAACTCCCTCAGTTCATTGCCAGGGGCTGCCGCTTGTCTCCCAGGTGCAGCATCAGTGAAGATGAAGACGAAGATGATGAGGAGTTGGCCAAGTTGACCAGAATTCCAGAATTTAACCTTTAGATTACATAAAGGGAGTTAATTTGGAAAACAACAACGAAAACATGAATTTTGTGAAAGGGCGTCAAGTTGAATGTAAAGTACTGGCTTTATTGGTCACTCTGCATCGGGATTTCCCTTCTTTTCTTCAAGGGCCTTGAGGAGTTGCATTTTCCATTTACATTAAGGAAATTATCAACTTGCTTATTTAACACCTCATCATAGTGAACAATTTGAGTTCAAGGTTTCTTCCGAACTTAATTCAGTCCTTTTCTCTCTCTCTCAAAGAGAGAGAATGATAGAGTTACTAAAAAAAACTATTTTATGGAAAGTATTTCTCAAACACAGTTTCAGGTCTTAACAAATACTATCTGAATGAACAACCTGTAGTAATGACAGTATATTTTAAACCTACATATATGTTTTGTTTTGATCTCTCTTTTTTTGTAAGTCAGACATAAGATGTAGATTTTGTGAAAGACCTTGTTTCCAGTTAAATTTCTTTTACAATAATCATGGTAACAAATGAAGCTAATTTCACATCTAATGTGTTCCTTAGTGTGTGTGTTTTTTTTGCAGTCTATAATAACCATCGGGAGGTAAAAATTTACCAGTACCTCGAATTTGTATTACTACATTCTTCTACACAAGTAGACATGAAGAGATAATTTTGTTTTAAGTTGAAATTTAATGGATTGTAAATATTGTTACACTAATAACAAGCTAAAATCAAATACTTGCTCTCTCACAGTTTTAGTCAAGAAAAAGGGTGAATGCAAGCATTATCTGCAGTTGCAGTCATTCATGATGAGGCAAAGCCTGTTGATGTGTACTCTAGCAAATACAAATGATTGTCAACTTTTGAAAACTTGCTCCTTTGTAATATTACCTTATGGATTTAATGGCTGGATGGAAAAACTTTCAAAAGAACTTCACAAGTTTTACACCATGTGAGCAGAGTTGCTTTGATCTTTCCTAGATAAGTCAGGAAAGAGGAAGGCAAATTCCTCTCTTGACTTAATTCTGAAAGATCAAAGCGACTCTGCTTGGAGGCTACAAATTCCAAACATGTTCTTCACTAAAACAATTTGTTACACAAAAAGGGCATTATCATTTTCTTTCAACCTCCGGGTAACAAATTAAAGTAAACTCAAAGTAACCTTTATGGTTGTGATATACTGTGTAGCATGAAATTTTTGCAGGACTTTTATTTTGTGGATTGGCAATTCTTTGAGGTTTGCTGGAGCAAATTTTTGTGGCATGTGTTGACTGAAATTTCTGCTGGAAACTAAGTTTTGCAGTTTCCTTTTCAAGCAGCGAGACATCAACAAGGAAGGAAATGTAATATTGACAACTTTTATTACTTTCTTAGGTAAAGCAACAGTCTGTGCTTCTCAGACATTTCAGTCAACGATAAGCCAGTTGTACAACGTACTAATGGGAGTAAATTTTTGCGGTTATTAATTTTGCTGGGTTTTTTTTTCCGCTGCAACTTATTTTTGCGGATCAAGTACCATCCGCAAAATCACAAAACTTAAACCCTGCAAAATAAAAGTGCTACATGGTATTCATTTTTATCAATTACACTCTTACCCAATTGTGAAATATTTCTTAACGTTACTAAACCTCTGTGAACATATTAACATAATTATTTAACTCCAGTTCATTCCACATACATCTGTAACATGTATTTAAAACATGCTCTTGAATCTTGGTGGACAATGCACCATATAGATTGATGTCTGTTCAAGAAATTGATTTTGTAACAGTTGTAAGATTTAGTTAATTTTGGCTTATTTTTAATAGCAAGAACAGTTTCAACCATAGATGAAATGTCCCAGTTGCACTTAGTCTCTTTTTATTTCCAAGATTCATGCATGTTATCAAAGATTTGTATGCTTGACATTTGTCAAGATATTGCTTGATTTTTAGAAAATTGAGGTTAAAAGCACTTGTAATAGACCATACAGTACACCACGTTTACCATAAATAAATAAAAGATATTACTCAAAGGAATGAATTTGAATGCATTTTTTTGTGGAGTTATTTATTTACAAGTTTGGGAAAATTGATTTGAAAATCATTTAAACAAATTTGATTTAGGTATGGTTTAATCCGAGGAATCCCCAGCTTGACATAGCAATGGCACTGGGTGCTTTACGTTCAACTAGATTTTTACGGAAATTTTGAAACAGGAGCAAAATGGCACAAAAATTTCCTTGAAAGTTTCTGGAAAATCTTAAAAAAAGGTGAACCATTCAACTGAAAATTTCATAAATTCTGGGTGGAAAATCAAAGGAAACAATAATTCCCAGTCACAGATTCCTGAAAATTTGGGTATACCGGTACCTCACAAGGTTGTTCTCTTTTCTGGGAATTCTGGAAAATGCTGTTCCATTTGCCACTGCAAATTTCTGAAAACTCAAATCAGAACTTCGTTGATGGGAAGGTGCCCACTTCTTTATATTGTTGCATGTCTTGGAGAGCATCCCTTGGCAAGTTTATCACAATTCAGGAATTTGGTTGACTGGAAAGCATGTTGGCACTTTTACACCTTGTTTGTTTGAGATGGAACTGTCGGCTAATCATGTTGCCTTTTCTGATACTCCCAACCAGGGCTTTCTACAAAAGTGTTGGGGTGATAGTTGACCCTGTTAGAAACTTAGCACCACTAAGGGTGGATCTAAATTTAATGCTGACATGCTAGAATTATTACAGTTCCCTTGTGGTATACAGCTGGAAAAAAAAGAGAACTTATTTTGGAAGTGTACACTACGACAAGGAAAATGCATTTTAGTCACTACAAGGAAATTTAAGTACCTTTTACATGGAAAGGGTTCCTTTCAAACTTTCAAATATCATTCCTGTTGCTTGAACTGGTCACCTTTTTAATGGAAGCCCATGGGCTTCCTCTAGTCATGTTCTTGACCTTGTTACAAAGATCATTTAACTTTCTGCATCCTATTTGCTATACAACAATCAGTCCTTGTCACTGGCAATAAAGTCTGTAAAGTCACTGCAGTACAACAACCCCTTGCAATTATGCAAGGTTACTCTGTTCAATACAAGATAGATAACTGTTTAGCACCATTTCATATACTCGTCCTGTTTTATTACGGTATTGTTACTGATTTCATCACTGCAATTTGGAAGCTGTATTGTGCTGGATAGGCTGTGGTGATCCAAGTGTAAGGGTTGTGTGAACACAAAATTTCAACTTCAAGTCCATACAGTGCTAACTAGGTGTGTGGTCCAGTCGCTGTATGAAATCCAGAATGTACATTTGAAGTCGAATGTCATCAGGGTTGTTTGTGATGGAAAACAAGGGAACACCAGCTCTCTGTGAAGAATTAAAAACAAAAATGACATGTTGACATTCAACCTATAAACTCATTACCAACAGCGGAACCTCCCATAAGAGGACAACGAGAAATCTGGAACCAGAAAAAGAGTAAACAGCTGGCCAAAACAAAACAACTGCAGGGACTATTCTTACTTGGAGCGTTGCCTGTTGATCACTAACTAGCTGGTCCAGTTCCAAGACTACCTTCTGATCAACTTGAGTCACTTCTGCTTCTAACTTCTCTTCTAGAGCCTTATTTGCAAGAATTTTACAATAAAATAGTATTAATCATTTAGTTTGTAATGAAACCTGTTCAGACCGAAAATTACTATCATTCTGTGATAAGGTACATTGTACCATTGGTAAAGTCTGCATTCCAGCCAAGTGGCCCATCAGGCTCGTGGTTATCTGTGATTTGCAGAAGGGACCGTCAACATATTCACTTGGCCCCTATGAACTAAGTGGCATAGCCCAGTCCCCTGTACACACTGCATACCTACAAGGCTGATCCAGTAAGATAGGCCTGCAATGTGTGCTAAAAGTTACAACAACATAGCCCTCCGCACACACTGCATGCCTACACTGCTAATCCAGTGCTATTGGCCTACAATGTGTGCTAAAAGCTACAACTACATAGCCCTCTGTACACATTGCATGCCTACATGGCTAATCCAGCACTATAGGTCTACCATGTGTGCAAAACGCTACAACTACATAGCCCTCTGTACACACTGTATGCCTACATTGCTAATCCAGTACTATAAGCCTGCAATGATTGCAAAGAGCTATAACTACATAGCCCTCTGTATACAATGCATGTCTACACTGCTAATCCAGTACTATAGGCCTGCAATGTGTGCAAAGTGCTACAACTACACAGCCCTCTGTACACACTGCATGCCTACAATGCTAATCCAGTAACAAAGGCCTGCAATGTGTGCAAAGAGCTACAACGACATAGCCCTGCACACCTACAATGCTAATCCAGTAAGATAGGCCTGCAATGTGTGCAAAGAGCTACAACCACATAGCCCTCTGTACACACTGCATGCCTACAATGCTAATCCAGCACCATAGGTCTGCAATGTGTGCAAAGTGCCACAACTACATAGCCTTCTGAACATACTGCATTTAATTTCTACAATGTTAATCAAGTATCAGAGGCCTGCCATATGTGCACAAGACTACACAGCCTCATCTTCATCAAAGCATCATCATCATGTCCTTTTCCCTATGAGGGGAAAAGGACATTGCATTCTCGCTTTCCAAGCTTCTTGGTTCTTAGCACATGCAAGCTAGGTTATTCTAGAATTGCTTTAGATTAAGGGACAACTTCTCCACATGATACTGATATTACATTTTATCATAAACTTAAAACATTATAATTATACGCCATGAGCAAAAAAGGAAATTACATGATTGAGCAGTTTACCTTCTTTTCCTGAGCATTTGTAGCCTCCACAAGAGGGAGATTATGAGGTCTTTGTTCACATTTTTGAAGGGCATCTTTCTGTTTCTTTGCCATCTGCATCCTTTGAGCTATAAAAAACTGTGATTACTGCCACTTGTACAAAGATCATTGAGCAAACTGTGTAGCAATGCAATAGTTATTTTGCACCATATAGTGCTACTGGTAAGGAGATCTGAGTTAGCCTCTGAATTGATTAAACATAATTATGATCAATCAGTCTTAAAATAAAGTGCTTCCATTTTCACCATTAGGAATTGAAAGGCAAAGAAATATGACACACCTCCTTTCAACTCAATGAAGTTTTACTCAGGATTTAATAGACAAAGTATAAAATGTTTTTTTTTGCAGGCCATGAAACCAAGTAAGAGATCATTATAATGTTACAATTCCACAAGGGTACAGATGGGCTACATACACTGTAATGCAAAAAATAAAACTAACTTATAAAATAATGTCAAATTACAATCTTTTCCCCAGAGCCCACATATTTCTGGTCAGTGGTTACTGAATGCCTGATACTCTGAAAATCTGAAATATAATGGTTCCAACTTGATTATGCACATGTGTTCAAATTCAATAACAGTTTCTAAACATGAGTATAGAGAGTAACTGCTGTGACTGATGCTGGCTCACTTTCCGATTTCTACCCCCTGACTCCAGGATTGAGATTGGTCAAATTATTGCTACTGAGCAATTACATTAGATTGCAATTTAAAATCAAGTCTTTTTTGTTTACTTTGCAGTTCACCCAGAACAGACAAGACTGGCTGTAAAATCCTCTCCTCTCCTCCCTTATCCTCAGTGACTTCCAAAGAGATAATGTTATACACACTAATTTCACCAAGAAATGATACAACAATGAACTACCTTTTTGTGAGTTTACTATTTTCATTCTTTTATTGAGCAAATTTCGTTCAGAAAGTTGTTGGATGTCCTCCAGTCCCTTTACAATCTCAAAGACTGTGCCATCCAGAAGACAAGTAGCAATTCCAGATAGCACATCATAAGTAAATTTCTTTTTGTATGTACTGAAAATAAAAAAAAAGAAAACAATTAAGCTAGAATATTTATCCTAAATTAAAGATTATTGATCTCCTTTAAAAGAATAGGGTCAAGAGAGTCAGATGTGAAACATCACGACTAGTTAAATTCACACAGCTTAAAGAAAGATTGATTAATAAAAATTTTGAAAATTTTGAAAGGAAATCATTACCCAGGCAGATCTCGAACCATGGCTTGAAGTTGTGTCAAATAACTGGTTAACCTTTTCTGTTCGGCTTCGATTCGCTGTTGCTCCTTACGATATTCCTCTTCTTTTCGAAGCATTTCATCGCGAACTGTAGCTAATAAATTGGGATCTAGGTTTGTTTGATAATTCCATTTTGGCTGCCTTTGCCCTCCTCCTCCGCCGTAAAAGTAAGACATTCTTAGGGAGAAAAGTGAAGAATATTGATCGGCTGAAGGGGCTGAAATCAAGCAGGCGTTGAAAGCAGCGTTCAGGAGAGATCTGGGGAGAGCTTCCCATGACACCTTTCACGCTTGCAAGAAAATCATGGCCACCATGTTCAAGAAGTCTAAACGAAATTTTCGCAAAAAAGTCGTAGACGAAGACGACGACACCGGAAATGATGATGAATCAGAGAACGTTCCTGCAATTCCAAAAAACACAGTTGAAAATTCGAAGCCAAAAGAGAAAAAGAAGTCAAAGATCAAGGTCGATAAAGTTGCGTCTTCCAATTCCCTGTTGAGCTTCGATGATGAAGCGGCAGACGAGGGTGAGGTTTTTAAGGTTCGGAAATCAAAGGAAAGCCGTCGTTTGGCGAAGAAAATCGAGCAAGAACGGAAAAAGAAAGAGAAAATCGGCGGGGAGGCGGACGCGAATAAAAATGACGGAAGTCTTGATCAGGGTCAAGACGACACCGATGAGAAACTTGCTGCACTGCGGGCAGAACTGAGCCAGATCACACGTGAAGGCGACGATGATGACGCTGATGATGACATTGAGTCTGTAGGGTCAGCTCCTGTAAAAGAACCGGTTACAAATTCAAATATAAGAACTGATTTTAGTATACCAGACGCAGCAACAATCCATGCCGCACGCAAAAGACGTGAAATGGCTAGACAAACTGAGCAAGATTACATTCCTCTAGATGACACAAAGAAATATGAAGGGCAATTTGCTTCAAAAGGTCGGCTGGTGAGAGAAGATGAAAATGATGTAAGTGATGACGAGGGTGAAGAAGGCCCCATCACCTTCTCTGTTGCAAGGAAAACAGGATTTCCAGCTCTGGATCGTAGACGAGAGGTAGAAGCCGCGCTTGCTAATCAACAACTTGACGAAAAATCTGACGATGAAGAGGCTGAAGATGATGAGGAGTTGAAACTTTGGGAAGATGAACAAATTCGCAAAGGAGTGAAAGGGGTTTCTGCACCCCTGGTACAAACAGAATTGCCGCCAGCCACTGAGATGACAAATTCATTATATCAGCAACAGTATGCCGAGGATCAACCTTCAGGCTTTCAAATAGCCCAGCAACCTTATACATATGGAGTCGGGTATAGAGATGTACACACAAATGGAAATCAAACTCATGGACTGACCGTGGCCTCTAATTCACTGCAAAGTCATCACGCAGTAACTGTAGACATGATTTGCGACAAGATGAAACAACAGTTAGCAACGCTTCAAGAGGTACATCGCGGACATCAGATGGACAAAGAAAAAGCAACATCTCAGCTGGAAACTGCGCAGGGAAGCATCAAGAAGCTAGAGCGTCAGGGACGAAATGCAGAGCAGAGATTTACTTTTTTTCAAGAGATGAGGGGGTATGTCAGGGACTTGCTAGAATGCCTTAATCACAAGGTGGGTGATACAAGCAGGATCTAAGGGGTGGAGATGTGGGGTGAGGGTTGCTTCAACAAGAGCTTATCTGATATCACTATAATAACTTCTCTTTTTATACATTTTCATTAGTAAGTTCTAGGGTTGTGTGACTTGTTTTGCGCCCAATTTGCTGGTAAGTGATACAATGTTGGAATTTACCATAAAGACCCGCAGATAAGCCACGCCTTTTTTCCAAAAATCGTCACTCAAAATCGAGGGTGTGGCTCATCTGCGGGAACATTTGGAAAAGGTGCCCTAAATCTCGGTGAATTGACACTTTATGGATAAGTATGTCAATAAACATTACATAAAACTACAAAGGAGTACTGGTCATTGCTTTTGCAAGTTTGGTGGCTCCTAAAAGAGCCGTTGTTGATGTAAGTGTAACCTTATTGTAGAGCTTACATTTGTTGCTGCTTAAAGCGTTAAACCTTCTTCGTTAGGAGATCCTTCAAGCGATTTATGGTCGCTTTTCTCGAACAGGAAAACATCACGCAGCATGGAATTTCCATTCCCCCGCAAAGCTGTTTGCAGCGTCGACGATGGCCAGTAACTTCAACAGATAGCGATCTTCCACAAGCGAGAAAATACCACGCTATTTTCGAGTATTCGCATGGTAGATGGCCCACTGTTTCCTCACCGTTTAGCACTTTGATGGCATATTTGTCGAACTGATTATGTAACNACACGCGCATCGCCGGATGTAAATGGACGACTTGCGCTCGAATAATTTTTTTTCTTTAATTTGTGAGACATATAATAAACAACTTAATAACCTTGACTGTTCGGTCGCTACGCGAAAATCTCAAACCTTGGCCTACCGTATTGACCTTGCTATCACTCGGTCAATACGGCAAGACCTCAGTTTGAGATTTTCCCGTAACAACCTCACTCTCGGTTATTAAGTAGTTAATTTTACACTTTGTAAATGTCTGTAATGGAATGTTCCAAACAAATGCCTGCTCTTAACTGTTGACACTGTTGGTCAGAAATATTTAGTTGCTTTGAGAGGTGATCTGGGGAGAGAGGAGTTAAAATGAGACAAGGAGTTTACTTGTTCCAATATTACCGTGCATATACATAGAATGGGTGATTTGATAAATACCTTATTTTGTTGTTTTTTGCAGAGAGGATTCTATCTGAGGAGAAAGCTTTATTTGAAGATGTAGTGGAGGATTTCAGTTCTATCGACTCAATAAAATCAAGATTTGAGGAATGGAAGAACAAACACGAAGACTGTTATAGGAATGCATACATTTCACTTTGTCTTCCTAAACTGTTTGCTCCATTTATTAGACTGCAACTTTTGGACTGGAATCCGTTTGAGGTACAATTGATACCTTTGTTATGAACACGTTGTGCAACTGAACTTGGCAAGGACACGGTGTTGGTGATGAACACCTTGCCGCACGCAAAGTTTGACTGAAGCAGGTTACACCGGACGTGCATTTGATTTGATTTTTACTTGAATGCAGTGCACTGTGACAATGTATGGTGTTCTTTGGCGGCATTAGGCTTTCAGGGGTATGCCACTGCAAGCTGTCGTGAACCTTGGTGAAAATCCAAGAGAAACATTATTTGAATATGTCATCACTGATTGGACAATTCCCCTCAGCTAACACTGAGTCATATTTTTTGTCTGAGGAAAACTGTGACTTTCACATGAAAGTTTTTCAATGCTGTTTGTTTCTTGAATTCTTTTCTTTGAGTGGAAAGTTCCAATTATTTTTAATCTGTAGTTTTGGCTTGCCAGTTTTTAAATAATTGCATAACTGCAGGTATAAAATCAGTTACTTTTTTGTTTTAGTAATGTGAGGGAGGACACGAGTTGTGTTCAACTCCTTTGTACATTTTTCTCAAGTCATAAGGAAATGGATGGCCATTTTCTCAATTCCCTTTTTTTTTGCAAACCAAAGCATACTTAGATTTTGTCAGTGTGTGTCAGGATTGTATTAATTTTTGACTTTGTTTTCTTCCAGGCCAAATGTTTGGAGATTGAGGATTTCCGCTGGTACAAAAGTCTGGTGTTGTTTGGATGTGGGGATGATCCCTATGACATTGATGTTGACGACCCTGATGTTAAACTCATTCCAATAGTGTTGGAGAAGTCACTTATCCCAAAACTAACTGGTATCAAATTTTAGTTTCATTGCTGCCTCCCAATGAGTATTAGGTTAAAGGAGCTCAGTCACAGCATTTTCAGTTATTTTGGCCATGTAAAAAAAATTATCTTTACACTGAAGGAAACCTGAAAATATTAGTTTCCCAAGGTAGAAAAATACCAAAAAGGTAGTAATACACCATAAAGGAACAAGCATGGTGAAGGATGGAGAAGATTAACGTGGATTATTAGACAAACTTGAAAAATTTAGGCTAAACTTTTCAAGGTGCAAAACTGTGGCCTAGCTCCTTTAAGCATACTGTAGCTTCTTGTAGACCTAGATTACAAATGTTGATTTTGCTTTTAAATGATTAGTTTCTAAACAGCCTCTCTAGTTACTTAAGGTACATGTATATGGAAAAAAGTTAGCAATCACCCTTGCTTTGCTCTGCTTGTGAATATCTTTTTCCTTCTACACCCCTTAAGGAAGCTGTCTCATAGGCTACTGAATTGCAAGAGGCCTGATTTGCCATGCAGTACAAAGAGGACTAAGTTAGGGAGTAAATGTTATGTTGCCATTTTAGTAATGAACTTTCCCATCTGCAATACAATGTACTCCAGTGTGGCTGCAAGGCAATTTCAAGCAAAAACTAATTGTCCAAATTTGCCTAGTATGTACGTTAGATTATGTTGTACATAATGGAAATGAGAAAAGTTAATGTGAAAAGGGCTATTTCATAATTACCATTGGTAAATCATGGAGTTGTTTTTTGTATTCCTTATAGGTCTTTTTGAACATGTTTGGGATCCTTTATCACAGAAACAAACAGTGCTGGCTATTAAATTAATTAGAGGGATGGCTGAAGTTTATCCCAACTTTCATGCTCAAGATAAGTCTACACAGGTAAGGTTAGATGTGAGATTATTAGGCAGTTAAATGGCAGCAGTGTGGGATTTTTTTCTTCTTAAGAGAGCATTGCATAATAGGAGGAGATTACACACTGTGGTACAATGTAATCATGCTTTAGCCGCCACGCTTGAAACAATCTTGTTCATCGAGTCAGAGTTTGTTAAGTACTGCACAAGCTTGATAAAGCCAGTGACTCTTGAGAGTTCTGGTACAGGCTCGGTTTTGATTGGTTTTAAAGCAATGGAAATGAGCGGAAGTAAAACACCAGTGACTGGATTGAGCCACATGTTTCTTAGCTAGGCATGCGCAATACAACTGGATGTTTGATATGTTTAGACTTCCAAACAGAACTTTCCAGGCTCGCATGTTTCCCACCCGTTGGTCAAGGTTCAACAAAGGGTTGCCTTTTAAATGATGACTTGGAAACTCTGAATATTTAATGCGGCTTTCTTCTAGTGACAATATTAACAGGCACATATCTTGTGCAGGCATTGCTACATGTGTATCATTTCTTCAGTACATTTTCCCTATACTAGGGACTTACAATACTGTTTAATCCCCTTGTTCCCATGATATTGCATCATATTTTCTCTCAGTGTCATCTCTTTTGCTTTTGTACAGTCGCTGTTTGCTGCCATAACGACTCGCTTGAGAAGATGTGTAAGCGACGATGTCTATGTCCCTCTTTATCCTAAAAGGTACACTTCGGTCCTTCTTCTTTTTGATTCATATTAAGTACTTGTTTACTTCTAAAAGTTTGGCTGAGGCTCCTTTAACACTGTTCAGCGATGTCGTTTTAAAGCTAAGTAGATTATTCCAGATTGATGCATTGGCTGACTGGACATTGTGCTATGAGCAGTCTTGATACACTATATCACACTGTGTTACAAAAGAGTTATTAACCATTACCTATTATTGCACAACATATTAGAACCTGCTTAGAGCGGACACCCTGTATTAAGGGGACACTAGTGAGGGTCTTAAGGGTGTCTGCTCAATACAGGTTTAACTGTATTCGCTTTTATTTTTCACAGTTTACTGGACAACAAATCTTCAGGGGCCTTGGCGTTTTTCCAGAGACAGTTTTGGAGTTGTGTCAAGGTACTCTTCTTTCTTTTCTTTCTGCTGCTTATACAATTTAGTGCTTGCTCTAACAACTGAAATAAACGCTTTCTGAGCAGTATCACGTGTTGATGAACGTCGTTCCGAAAATTCGGAGCATTCTTCCAACTTTTTCAAAATTCTGCATGATGTTCCTGATGTGCTTCACGATAGTGTGACATATTACCTCGGTCTATTTTCCCAGGAAATTCTTGGAATCCCCTGATTGCGGGTAACTTGCTTGTAAATCTCTGGCAGGAAGTTACTGTTCTTCTAAAACAGCAGTCATTGTCACCCACGCTGTGATCCACTGAGATCTCTGCTTATTACACTACATGTACCTTACAAACCTTCATTGTCCGTTGTTCTTGTAGCTCATGGATAACATCCTCAGATGGGAGGGTCTCATTTCGTCCGCCAGGCTGCAGGAAATGGCAGTGGACGGTCTACTGAACAGATATCTGCTCTTAGCTCTTCAACATTCTCATCTTTACTTCGACAGTCTGGAAAAGGCTAAAGCGGTAAGTGCTGTTATCTTATTACATTTAAGACCACGAGTAGTCCCTCTTTTGCTTAGTCCGTCGAGCGTGACCTTAAATAAACTGCGAGGAAAAGATGTCCGCGCGAAATCCTGGGGGCGAGAAGCGTGCCCCCAGTTTTTCGCGACACCATTTTTTCTTGCGGTTTTCTTTCGCGTCTCGCCCGACGGACTGAGCGAAAGAGGGGCTACTCGTAGTCTAATTGCTGTTGACCCGCTCGCTGCTATCGGACACCTCCCACAGGCGGACGATACGAGCAGAAACTTAGCCGTGTTCCCAGCCACATATCTACTTTTAAGTACATTTTCACCTCCCATTTAAGAAACAGGGAAAACATTTTCCCTGTATTATTTTTTGATCGAGCCACAGAAAAAGAGATTGGAAGTTTGGGAAAACGAGCAAAGAGAACATGAGCCGGGTGTGAGTGTTTGAACGACTTTTTCGAGTTCTCGGACACGTTTACATTTACGAATGTTTCTATAACTCCAATTGTATTTCTTTTAGGGAGAAACATAAGAAAACAAATCAAGTCAAAAAAGTTATTTCAATTATCAAAATATAAATTAAATTTGCTCGCATCAGCATTGCCTCGAGTTATAAAAGTACGGCTTTCAGCGTACGCTTTCTTACAAGGTGTCTTCATAGAATGGATACTTCTCAACATACTTTTATTCTGATTCAAAGATTGAGGGACTTTATAGAAAGTAAACTAAACTAAGTGAGGATGCTTCTCCTTCCACTGCAGATCACTGCCACGTTTCCCAAACAGTGGTTTAGCGAGCACCAACAGAAGACTTTGCCTTCGTTAGAAGCGTTGGTGCGTTATCTCGCCACCTTGGCAGCAAGCATGCAACGCTCTTGTGCAGGATGTCCTGAAGCTGAGAAAAAGAAGGCGAGGTAGATAACATATGCACTGAAATTTCTCTATTTCGACTGGATAACAAATACCGGGGGAACTGCAATGGGTTATGGTCATCAGGAAAAAATCAGGGAGGGGTAGGGTAGGCAAGGGGGGGAAACCTCTCTC